TAACCCTATTATGAGATCTCTTGGGCTTATATAGGCCCTACACAACTTACACATAACCCCCTACATATATTACTAATGTCAACAACTTGTATCTGGGAGTTCCCACAACCCACACAGCCTTCATCTCTTCAGATAATACAAAAACCCTAACCCTATTATGAGATCTCTTGGGCTTATATAGGCCCTACACAACTTACACATAACCCCCTACATATATTACTAATGTCAACAGGGGCAGCTCTGATACCAAATTGATAATTGATAATACAAAAACCCTAACCCTATTATGAGATCTCTTGGGCTTATATAGGCCCTACACAACTTACACATAACCCCCTACATATATTACTAATGTCAACAACTTGTATCTGGGAGTTCCCACAACCCACACAGCCTTCATCTCTTCACATTTTCTTAAGTTTTAAAGCAAATTGGAATGGATCAAAACCTCTAAAACTGTAAAAACTAAAAGTCCAAAAGAGCAAGCCAACCAATAACTCTTAAGTAAACTATGTTCTGAAACCACAATTCAAGTTCCAAAACATTATCCAAGATGCAATGCACACATTCAATTGGAAACAATAGGTATAATACCTTCATTTTCTAAGAAATAAATATTATTTCTATCTATGTCTGCAAATACTGTAGGTTGATGAAATGCAAAACAGTAAAAAGCACACACATGTACATGCATACCTATTGTCTCCAAAATTGGAGAATGCTAACACAATATACATGGAAGCAAGCAGACTTCAAGAAAAAGATGGGATGATGAAAAAGCATTTCAAAACAGAGATGACTATTCGTAAGGATTTGTTTAAAGTGGAAGAACTAGAAGATCATATAACATGTAAACATGCAAAATATAGATCTCACAAAAGGAGCTTCCATGACCCCCATGAGTCCAGCTGCCCTATAATGTTTGTTGGGCATTATCGAAAATATAATTCCTAGAAGTTAATCAACATATAATATGCAAAACTTAAAACCATATGATGAAGGAAGTATCAAGATCTTCCAGATTTTCCAATAGTTAGAATTTTTTAACATCCAGTGACCTGGTTAAAGAAATAACTAGATATATTGCTAGACCATGGACAAACTACCTAACATCATACAACTTAAAGTTACAAAAACAACCCCCATCCACTACCACCCTCATCATGAACTTGCAAAACTTCCAATCAATCAGCTGGCTAGATAGAGCTATATATCAAGCTAAGTGGTGTTTGGCGTGTAATGTATAACATTGCACGTAAAGTCAAAGAAGCTACAAACATGTAAGGTGCTTGTCTTCCATTTCCTCCTTTAGCACTTAGTAAGACCATTCAAGATGATCAAATGAACGAAGGTACATGGCAAACCAAGGGCTCATAGAGAAATGTTTGAGGTAGAAGATGAAGAGAAAAATGTTAAGTCTAGAATGTCAATCCCTATAGAATGCAATTTAAAGTAAGGAATTGCTTCATGATACTAGCATGAATGCTATGGACGCCATTGCGCCTGTCAGCCTGTCCCACACAAAATCCTCCCCTTGAGAAGATAAGCCCCCAGCACTAATGTTCCCAGCGACCATGTCTAATTGACAAGGTTGTTGACTTCTAAATGGGTTGTTTATAGACCTCCCCATCGAACAAAAATCATATGTGGTTATTAATTTCTTTATTTATCAGTGTCTTTTTTTTATTTTGGGCTTACTGCTCTCTCATACTATGTGTGTGATTATTGTCCACCAAATGGATCATTCTATATCCATCATGTTCTATGTGCTTAAGCTCTATAATCCTAAAACCAAAAAGAACCAGAGATCAACCAGTTGGAGATAACTCCTACGCATCATGTTGTTCAAAATTGAAATGATTTTAAGGTCTTTAAAGTCGAGTTTCAGATCCATTTGACTGATCTGCAGCTTATGAGTTTATTGCATGATTTTGGTCTAGATCGATTTCAGGACGTGACCAGGTACAAATTTTCTTCAAATGGTGGAATAGATTATTTAAGTATGTGCAACTACTCGTTTAGATGTCCAAAAGAATGCCTTTCATCGTAAATAAGGAAAATTATCGACAATCGACTACTCATAGGTTTCAAATGTATAAAAAAACACTATTACATAAAGCAAGTGATGGTGCAATATACCACAGAGCATGTTTGGTGAGGACATGTAATGATAAGCATGGCAAGCAAATGACTTACCAGGTTTCAAATGTCTAAGAAACACTGTTAAATAGAGCAAGTAATGGCTCAAGATATCATGGGGAATTTTGGCAAGGACAGGCACAAGCTTACGGTCCCAAACCTCACATGCTCTAGTACTAAACCGACCTTTCCTGGTGGTTGCTATTCAACTTGTTTGTACTTCTTTGTCACCATGCTCTGAACATCCCATTAGTTTGTTGAGCATAGGCTTCGAGCATCTGCTCTGTTCATTAACCATAACCCCTTTGACGATCATGTGATCAATTAGAGTTAATTGCACAGACATGCATATTTCATACAGAAGGTTTCCCTTACTTATTTTGTTCATGACTGTATGTTGGTTGTACATCTGTTTGGGAGGGGTCGGAAATGTAGAATATCAATACAAGTAAAGAATAAACTTTACAGAATTATCATACATATTCTAACACACGTCTATCTTCGTGTTCTTACACAAATGAAGACCTGTAATGAGACATCTGGTTTCACACAGAAGTTGAAGTGCTTTCGGGTTTTGTGTGTTCCCTTCTTCATATGTTATTAATTCTGCATGGCTTATATACACCTTCCTGAGATAGGCAACAACTAGACTGAAAGGTTCCTTTCAGGTGGATAAAACACACCCAGAGGGTATATGGAAAATTTTCAAGACAAATGTAACAAAACAAGCAAAACAAAGTCAAGTTGACAAAAACTCCATGCTCTTGAAAGAGATAGATTAGCAAATGATGGAACATTAAGTCTTCTTGAAAATGAGGTCTCAACTTAATGATTACATAGTAACAACATAACAAGCTTATCTAAATGGGTCTAGAAATGCTTGATGAAACAGAGTATAACCAAAATTTGAAAGGATTTAAAGAGACAAACCTCCAAAGTTTGACGATAATGTACTAAAACAATGCGCTCCAAATTCCTGAAGGAAAAAATACGAGCAATCAAGTCAGTTGAAATTCTTCAAACAAAGAGCAGGAACAACATCTCCGAGCTCAAAGATTATGACAGGTTTAATGAGAATATTTTGAACAATTAATCAATTATGCAAATAAATCATTCCTAACATGCAAGAGTAACACTAATTTATTCTTGAGCTATCCATTCCATAAAAGTTGGAAAAGCAATAGCTAAAAATGACAAATCTGCTTTACAGAAAGTAAAGTAATAACAAAAGATTGGTAATTACATAAAGTAGACATTGTCTCAAGACCCTTCAAGCAAGTACCCCATTAGTCTTCATTTTGGTATGCTACAAATATCAGATGAATGAACTATTCAACAGTCTAATAAAAAAAGAAACTTCAACAAGACTACACCTTTGGAAGGTTGAGGGCTCGGTCTGAAAGCATACAACAGGTCCTGAAGTATATAAATGTAATACATCAGGCTGAAGCTTGATACTTGTGCACAGCTACAATGTTGTAGTTTGCTAAACTGAATTGATTTACTCGCATTAACTAAATTAATTTTTATGAGAATCGCCTTGCTGAAAGTATATTTAGTCTTTGAAGCCGTTAAAAGGTTTTTTCTAGATGCTGACAGCAACAGCAGCAGATGCCTTTGACCCAAATATTCTGGTCCAATTACATGAATCTTCCAGTCTGCATTCAATTCGCTAAAGACCATATCTTAATTTATATCAGAACCACATATATTACTTCTATGTTCAAATCTGAAATTTCTTTGGGTTGCTTCTAGTGTTGCCAACTTCCCTGACTGTCCTACAACCCCTAATTGACAAGGACTCTATTAGAAGGGGAGCCTGGGCGGCACAAGCCGCACGGCAGTATGAGTTGTTGTCATGTGACCTGGAGATCACGGATTCGAGTCATGGAAAAAACCTCTTATAAAAATGCAAGATAGGGCTGCTTACAATAGGTCCAAAGTGGTCCGAACCCTTCCCAGATCACATACATAGAGAGAGCTTCGTGCACCGGCCTACCCTCACGCTACCTCTGTCAACAACCAAAATGTTTAATTACAAGTCGGGACCTTGAGGTATGATGTAACTACACTGGTGACCTTGGGGTATTGTATCTACATGGGTAACGCTGAATATACTGATTGTGATTGCATGAGTAACCTTGAGAGTTGCTTTTCTCTAGGCTTTACTGTCACCAATGTAGTTACAATTAGTAATCTCAATGTTACCGGGGTAGATAAACATACTTCAGGGTCACCCGTGTAATAACATTATATCCCAGGGTACCGCGTTGTAACTAATCCCAACCAAAATATTGTCAGATTATTCCTGCACCTCGTCCTCACTCAAAGCCTCCTCTAGTACTCATCTTGAATTATGGTTTCCTCCATCCTTAAACAAAAATTAGAACTATAAAGTCAGTTTGAACACCCCC